AGGTTGCCAGATTATGCTAAATACAGAATTTTGCATTAAGTCAAGGACTTGCAGATGTTTAGAGGTCGTATTACAACATACTATTTGGAATTTAACACCAGTTTAAAAAAGGAATGTTAAAGCTTCTATTTTGTAAGATGAAGCTCTAAATTGTGATTCTAGTTACTTCTTAAAATTGAAAGTTTTCGTAACATTAAAATGTGAGTGGAATAAGCTATAAACTGTCTCTAAAATGTTTTTCTTTTGTTGTGATGAAATTACCTCGGTAATTGGAAGTAACTTAGAAGGATAATATCAGAGAAATAACTTCTTAGAAGAATTTAACAAGGATTATTATTCGATTTTGAACATTTCCAGATGTAAGCGAATTTCCAAGTCAATCACGAACAAGAACAATATTTCGTTGATAGATAAAGATTTACAAAGAAAGTTTCTAAAACATACGAACATCATGTGAAGATATAGGAGGCACAGAGGTTTCAAAATCCATAACATTAACATTTACTTTTGTTTTAATATTTATTATTCACTGTTACAGTTACAGATTAAAAGAAGTTTTTTTAAGTTATAAATTTGTTTATTCCACAAGCAGAAAAGGTTTAAATGATCTTTATAAACATTATGATAAAGTTTGGTTTGTTTTAAATTTTGCACAAAGATACACGAGGGCTATCTACGCTAGCCGTTTCTAATTTAGCATTGAAAGACTAGAAGGAAGCTAGTCATCACCACACACCGCCAACTCTTGTGCCACTCTTTTACCAATGAATAGTGGGATTGACCGTCACATTAAAACGCCCGTACGGCTGAATGGGCGAGCATGTTTGGTGTGACGGGAATTCGAACCCGCGACCCACATATTGCGAGTCGAGCGCCCTAACCAACTGGCCATGCCGGGCGTTATGATAAAATACATCATATCATCCAAACTATAGGCCAGCTGCTGCTTACTGGTTATTGTGTTTGGGTGTATCTGATGGTTCGTGTCCTGTTCCTGATAAGTCGCGTTCCGTAATTTAGTGCTGTAGGTATGTTAAAAGAGTGACAGTGAAATCCCATTATTTGATTAGAGTAGCCAAACAGGGGTTCCCAAACTGGAGACCACAGGAAAGTGTCGGGGGGGGGGGCGTAGCAAATAAACAAGATACACAGTATTGTTAAGGTACTCAATAGCTATAGGTTTATGGGTAGGGAGCCTTAAACAAGATGAAGGATACTCTGGTGGACCTTGTGCTGAGAAATTAGAACCCCTGGAATAGCTGCCTTCTCTTTAGTTTGTTTGTTCGTCCGTTGTTAAGCAAATGCTACACAATGGGCTATCTGTGCTGTACCAATTACTGGTATCGAAACCCGGTTTTTTAGTGTTATAAGCTTTTACGCGGGGGATATCTCTTTTAGTCTACCAGTTTAAAAATTAGTGACGGCCAGGGCAGATAACATACGAGTAGCTTAGCGAGAATAACCAATCAAAAATAAACTCAGTTTTTTTCCCATACAAATCCTCTAGCGTTTACCTATTTTTATGTAAAATAAAAATTAGTAAAATGAAACAAATCTTTAAGTCTACGCACTTCTCTTATATTGAGTCCTTTATTACACCATTTCTTCGAAAGTACTAGCTTTTCCATTTTCATAAGCTTTGTCTGAAATGCGTGCTTCTTTAGAACTTGAAACAGATAAAAGCAGTCCCTAATATATCCAGTGGTGCATAAAGCAATGTATATATACTAATGGTAAGTCATTAACATGTTACGAACGTTTTCACACACCGAACCCAACTAAGTATTCATACCACTACGTGAACACAAAAATAAATATCTTGTATGTTGGTTTAAATTATGCACTTTGGCGCCTGGAAATGTCATTGTTCGATTCAAAATAACTAAAACTTGTTAATAATATACTCCGGAACCAACCTATCTACGGACTTAGTGGTTAGTGTGACGAGACTGTGAACCTGAGGATTCGTTATTCGTGCCCTTTTGCCGTAAAAAATGCGCTCTGCTGTTTGTAGTTATATGTGCTATATGAGCGTCGGTTAAATTCCACTGTTGATTAGACAAGAATAACTGAAGAGTTGGATGTGGGTGCTGTTGACACTGTCTTCCCTCTGATCAGAGTTCAAAGTAAGGGATGATTATGCGCAGGTAGCCTTTTGTGTAGCTTTGTGCGAAAATTATAAAAGAAACAAATCATATTCTGTTTTATTTCAAATGGAACTTCTTCTCTGTTGTTAATGGAAACGTCTAGCATTTCCTAATCGCTGTAGTTATGGTTACACGCTAGAGGAGTTTTGAGCTCATGCTATCCATCCTCCAATTATGCAGGCCTGTCGTAACATATTTGTCAGTGCGCAGTCCAGGCAAGTTTGTCAGAGTGAACATTTGTTCTGTTAACTCCGTTAATTATACTCTTTTAAGACATGTTATAGGATATGTAATATAAACGATCTTTGTTTGGTTATTCCTTTGATATTTCATAGCAAGATGTATACTTCCTGAGAGTTTTTCTACTTCCATTAAATGTTTCTCTGACAAGATACATATTTTACTTGTTGCGCAGAGTATTGCAGTTTTTCTCACCCTAGAGACTTTTACAAAAAACCACAAAATATTATCAACCATAAACTTTGAAAATACACACTAAAAACAGAGTGATAATTTGCACCGTTGATTTTACTATTTTAAGATATGTTCAGTAATGTGTTTTAAAGTCCTTCGTTCTCTAATATAAAGTGGTATTTGTGTAGTGTTATTTTAACATCTACAGTGTTGGACATAACACACACACACACATATATATATATATATACATATAACTAAACATAAAGCTGTTTTTTTCAGCATTTGAGCTAAACATGACTTATTGAACATACGAATAGCCTAATTAATGCCCTAAATCACCATAATAACAAGTTTTTGAGAAAAACACGAAAACGGATAATGTTTCTAATACGAATTTGATGAAAACATACCACAGCATAAGAAGTTAACACCTCTCACTATAACAATATATCTATCAGATAATTTGGAAAAGGAACACCTTGGTACCTAGTTAATGCATGTTAGATGTAGGTATTAAAATCTGTTCATGCATGTTAAATGTGGGTACTAAAGCTGTTCATGAATATTAGATGTGGGTATTTAAGCTGTTCATGCGCGTTAGACGTGGGTATTTAAGCTATTCAGACATGTGAGATAGGAATACTTAAGCCCGTTCATGCATGTTGGATGTGGATATTTAAGCTGTGAGTATCTAAATCTGTTCATGCATGTTAAATATGGGCATTAAATCAGTTCATGCATATTACACATGGGTATTTAAGCTGTTCATGCATATTACACATGGGTATTAAAGCTGTTCATGCATATTACACATGGGCATTAAAGCTGTTCATGCATATTACACATGGGTATTTAAGCTGTTCATGCATATTACACATGGGTATTAAGCTGTTCATGCATATTACACATGGGTATTTAAGCTGTTCATGCATATTACACATGGGTATTTAAGCTGTTCATGCATATTAGATATAAGTATTTAAGCTGTTCATATATGTTAGATGTGAGCATTTAAGTCTCTCCAAGAACGATAGTCGTGGGTATTAAAGCTGTTCTTGCACGTTAGACGAGGGTATTTAAGTCTGTTCATGCTTGCTAGATGTAGATATTTAAGTCTGTTCATGTGTGTCAGACGTGAGTATTTAAACTGTTCATGCATGTTAAACGTGGATAATTAGCTGTTTGTGCGTGTTAGATGTGGGTGTTTAAGCTGTTCATGCATATTAGACGTGGTTTTTTATTTAAGCTATTCATGCATATTAGTTCTAAGTATTTAAGCTATTTAGATATGAGCATTGAAGTACACAAACACACACACACACACACACACATATATATATCCCCCGTTGGCTCAGCGTTCAGTTGGAGAGCTTATAAGGCTAAAAATCGGGTTTCGATACCTTCAGTAGGCAGATCACAGATAGCTCAATTAGTATATATACGCTTAACTACAAACAAAGAAGGAAATCGAAAAACAAGTAGAAACAAAAAACTTCACTGCAGCACACGTCACCAAGCAGGGAAGCCAAAAGCTCTCTCTCTCTCTCTCTTTATATACATGTATATATGCACAAAACCTTGACTGAAATTAAAATAATATCTTTTTTTAAAGAGTGTCAAATTGTTATTTTTTGTTAAACATAGTTTTTAATCAACGGTTCTACGGTAGGTTGTTCTGTTTTTATAAACAATAATTTTTTGTTAGGATTTTCTTGCTTTTATAAACAGTGTTTTTAAACTGAGATTTCTATGTTAGGTTGTTCTTGTTTTGATAAACAGAGTGATTTTTAACCAAGAGTTCTATGTTAGGTTGTTATTGTTTTGATAGACAGAGTGTTTTTTAACCAAGAGTTCTATGTTAGGTTGTTATTGTTTTGATAAACAGATATTCTAACCAAGAGATAACTTTTATTAGGTTTTAGCTACTTTGATAAACAGTTTCGTACCAAGAATTCTGTGACAGACTTTTGTTATTTTGACAGAATTTTTAACCAAAAGTTCTGTGATAGGTTGTTGTTACTTTGTTAAACAGAAATTTTATCCAAGATTTCTATGATATATTGTTTCTACTTTGATAAACATAGTTTTAACCAATAATTCTACTTTGATAAACATAGTTTTTAACCAAGAGTTGTATGTTAGGTTTTTGTTACTTTAATAAATAGAATTTTAACCAAGTTTTAACCTATGATAGACTGTTTTTGCTTGGATGTACAGTTTTTAACCAAGAATTCTGTGTTAGGTTGTTGTAACTTGGATAAGTAATTTTTAACCAATAGTTTTATGTTAGGTTGTTATTGTTGTTAAAATGTGGCTATGACTGAATGCTTTTATGTATAAAGAAAAAAATGGAGGCAAACCATATGAATTAAGATGTCTAATTATCTATTTTTCTAAGATTTAATTATTTCTGAGAAGCTTCTGGCGGTCATTTTATTAACGTATTTCAGGAAAAAAAATACATTCCAAATTTGAATTCATACTACACTGATTTGATTACTTACTTATCTTATCAGTATTAAAACAGAGACAATCTTTACTCAAACATCAAACATATACTTTTAAACTCACTTTTCTGTTTAGAGAGTTTAAGTTTCTGTGAAGTTATGAGAATAAAATGAAGTTTTTGTTTATTACCTCTTGAACGTACTTGGATTTAAAAACAACAACAAGAAAACAAGATACGACAAAGTAATACCCATTATAGAAACAGTCTTATTTCTGTTCTATGGACTTTTACGTATGGTGCTTTCAGCTAGAATAATAACGTACTATTATATATTTATGGACTTTAACAGTCCTTCTGTTTCTTTTTGTTTTTATATGAGATGCTTTGAAATAAAGCAATACAATTAAATGGTTACAGTATTCTAATATCTTGGTGGTATCAACGGGTTTAGTAATGAGTGTTTCACACAACTGATTATTTTTAACCACTAGTTTACTATTTTGTTTCTTACTTAATATACACATTTATACATCTAAGGGTATTCCGATTACAGTATCAAACTATCTAAATGAAAAACAAAATTTCTAGTGAATAAAAACTGGTTAGGTAAATTATCTTTCTTATTAGAAACAGAATAATTGTTTTAAGCTATTTAGAAAACTTTCACTGTAAACTTTCTACAACTTCCCAGTTAACATTCAAAGTTATTTTACTGGTGATTTCACAAATCTATTGACAGGAAATAATTTACAAATGGGGAGGTATACAGAGATAATTATCAGTGTAGTGGAACGAGATGTTGTGGGCTACTTTGTGACAATATTAATGAGGTAATTTAAGGTTAATTTTAAGGTCTTGAACTTCTAAACGTTTATTAATATGTATTACACACTACCAAGTTTGAATTTCAAAGGTGTAGACAATAGTAAATGAAACATTTAAGCAAAAAGTAAAAAAAAAAATCGTTTCATAGCAACAGCAATTAGAAATGTATTACGAAATGGTGGCAAAGAGTCAATAGGTATGTTCAAAGTGCTGCTCAAATGTGATATATTCCAGTAAGGCGTCGTCGTCGTTACTATTAATTGCTGTTCTTAGTCTGCTCACATCTATGTGTAAATGAACGTATAGTACGCAGCAGCTAATAACAATTCTTATCATTCGATGCGATGGATGACGTTCATTTTGGAACCATTTGGCATATAATTTGGTGATACTCTTCATACAATAGGGTCATGTTAAACTGTTATTCAACTGAATGTTGTGCCATTGTTTAGATGACCTGAGAGCAAGTACAGCACAATGCTTATGCGCTTACCTTATACAAGGGTCTTGTACTTTAACACTTGTTATCTTTTGAGATATTCAAAGCTGTAACATCCTGCTTATGAAACTTTTGACTTTGCATCTGAATATGGATCAAATGGGTACATTTACGCCTATAATTGTTAATTTTTGGCTTAAAATGTTTCATTAATTTTTGTGTGCATGGTGTATATTGATACTAAGTTTTTTGTTATTAAACACAAAGCTACACAATGAACTATCTACGCTTTTTCCATCGCCAGTATCGAAATCCGTTTTTAAGCGTTAAAAGCCCGCAGACTTACAGTTGTTTCAAAGGGCGCGATCTTAAAGACAACTTTGAACGAACTTAATGATATTGCCGTAGGTTAGGACAACATCTCATTCTGTACTATTAACATTTATATTTCTACACTTCTTCATTACTGGAGTATTTGCCAATCAACGGACTTTTAAATCATTCTGAATATCTACGTAAACAACTTTATTAAAAACATCTTCAGTGACATACTTGCATTTAAACAGATTTTATTAAATCTAAAGGCGAAATCTGCTCAGTGACTCTACGTAAATAAGGCAGAATTCTGTTATTCGTCAATTATGTTTTGTCTATGACAATTTTACTTGCCTAAGGAAGACTAATAAAAAAATAATTAATTTCCAGCAACAAAAATATACGAACTTTAATATAAGAGCGTTAGAACATGAAGAATAAAAACTGATAGGAATTTCAAGCACTTTCTAAACAGTGATTAATCTCCTTAGATTTTAAGTTTCCTATTATTTAAAAAGTAAAAACAATTCATAACAAATAAATTTACTTTATAAGAAGAGGAAACGGAGCTAGGATGCTTTGATTCATATTGACACAAACAATATTGTGTTTACCTCACACGGAGCTCAAATGATTTATTGACTCAAATAACAACATCGTCGTAAAATATATCACAGATGTCAAGAATTGCACATCTTTGTATTTTACCTTATAGAAAATGGTTTTTAGGGTTTCACAACCACAGACAAAATACATTAAGTTTATGATCTTATTGGTTTAAATTCGATATTTTATTCGCAGACAAGTTATGTTATTTATGTAAGTTTAAGTTATTAAAATAGTCCACTTAAAATTTTCTAAGAAGATTTTCTTTACTCTAGATAACATATAACAGTGCCTTCCTTGGTAAGAAGTACTGACATACCATCGCTGGCAATAAACGGTGGAAATAATCAACGTTATTGTTAACAGAGTGTAAAATAACAAATGATTGGAGCTTAAAACGGTATAGCACTCTACTGTGGAAAACGACACGAACGTAGTCTGAAACGAACTTATCACAGAACTATAAATCAATACATACGCAAATCTAACGTCAGCCAATTTAATTAAGTATTCCATTGTTTGAACAGCCATGTGTTCCGTTTACAGTTGCTGCGTTTCTGATATCAGAATATGGAGTAACTATTTCATCAGCATATTAGTGACTGTTTTATCAGAATATAAGATAAATATTCCATAAACATTCATCAGAATATAGCGTATCTATTCTATTGGAATATAGGGCATCTATTTTATCAGAATATAAAATAAATATTCCATGAAAATGTACAGAAAAATATTCAATCAGAATATATATAGTAATTATATCATTAGAATATAGCCTAAGTATTTCAGTAGAATACAAAGTAGCTAGTTTAGCATAACATAGAGGAACTATTTCAATTACAATATAGATTAACTGTTTCGTCAGTACACAGGCTTCTCTGAGCAGATGAATGAAGGTAATGTAGACGTTCATTTGATGTGACTAACAAAATAATAAAGTTAGTTGCTTTTCATTTTGGATAATATGTGAAGCTTAATACTGAAGAAATTAAAAAGTTATGAACTTAAATTTCTTTTCTCTACAGCAGTATTTTCTCATTAGACGATACAACTGAACCTTATAATTATAGTCATTAAAAATAAAAAAAAGACCATATTAAAAATCTGCAAATGAGAACCTTTCTTCTTATTTCTTATTATTAAGTCATTACAGGAATGTTCAGCCATTTTTTCAGCCACCTTAAAAGAAACCGTTACGTGTTACGAATCCTTTACGTAAAGGGAACATACACTAGTAGAAAGAAATTTATGCATAAACATCAGGAGTGGCAGTGCCATATTTGAGTTAACTTATTGATTACATTATTACATTATTGATTACTAATGAGTGAAAATAGCTGAAATCCAAAAATACCTTTCAAATGTAGTTTGAGGTTTAAATAGAGAAACTACTGTCTGTACATTTTCTTTCTGTATAATTAGTTTGTAACAACCCCTTTGCCTTTAATAAATAAAACTATTTCTAACAATAAATGGAGTTTTGTTAACAGAACCAGTTGTAACAAAATGTGGAGTTTTGTTAACAGAACCAGTTGTAACAAAATGTGTAGTTTTGTCGATATATCCAACTGTAACATAAAATGGAGCTTTGTTATTAGTGTCAGTAGTAACAACAGAACCAGTTGTAACAAAATGTGGAGTTTTGTTAACAGAACCAGTTGTAACAAAATGTGTAGTTTTGTCGATATATCCAACTGTAACATAAAATGGAGCTTTGTTATTAGTGTCAGTAGTAACAACACCGAGATGTTTTAATAGATCCAGTAGTAACGACACATAGATTTGTTAATGGAGCCAGTAGTAACAACACAGAAATTTATTAATAGATCCAATAGTAACAACCCATAGATTTGTTAATAAATCCAGTTGTACCAGTACAGATTTGTTAATGGAACCAGTAGTAACAACACAGGATTTATTAGTAGAACCATTTTTAACAACACAGAGATTTGTTAATAGGGCCAGTTGTAACAGACAGATATTTGTTAATAGGGCCAGTTGTAACAAAATGTGGAGTTTTGTTGATATATCCAACTGTAACATAACATGGAGTTGTGTTATTAGTGTCAGTAGTAACAACACAGAGATGTATTAATAGATCCAGTAGTAACAACACATAAATTTGTTAATGGAGCCAGTAGTAACAACACATAAATTTGTTTATGGAGCCAGTAGTAACAACACAGGATTTATTAGTAGAACCATTTTTAACAACACAGAGATTTGTTAATAGGGCCAGTTGTAACAGCACAGATATTTGTTAATAGGGCCAGTTGTAACAAAATGTGGAGTTTTGTTATTAGTGTCAGTAGTAACAACACAAAGATATGTTAATAGAGGCAGTAATAACATCACAGGTTTATTAATAGATCCAATTGTAACATCACATGGTGATTTGTTATTAGAGACAGTAGTATAAATACATAGATATGTTAATGAAGCCAGTACTATCAATACATAGATTTGTTAACAGAACCAGTTGTAACAAGGATTAGAAGTGTGTAAACAGAGCTAGTTGTAACAAGGATTAGAAGTGTGTAAACAGAGCTAGTTGTAACAACACGTTGAAGTGTGTAAATAGAATCTCATTTCATGTTTGTTTCGTTACTGAATGCATTAACTATTAATAGTGTACCATGTTCTGAATACTCAGTTTATATAGCTTCACATGGGTTTTAGATTATAATAATGTTTAATTACTGTAAAACATCTTTATGGGCATCCGGCTTATTGAAATTGATATATCTGGTTACTTAAGATGTGCAATTATTCACACTCACACAATATTGAAAAAATACTACTTTGAAACCCTATGCTGCTGCTTTTGTGGTACTGTAGCATGTGAGAGTGATAATGTTTGATAACGTTACGCAGAGTCACCTGACGACGTTTCGTTACTGTAGTTCATTTCATTTATCAAGACGTACTTTTCTCGGGATTATAATAAATAGGTGCAAACAAAAAAATCGATGAAATGTAACAGAGCTTATAATTAGCACCTGTTTATAAAATAAGCGCAACATTAACGCATATCTAACTGAAAGTGGAATCTGAATTATTCAGGTTAGTGGCAGCCTGGGGAATTTAGGTGAAAGCGGATGAGTCTCTTACTTCAACAATCTTCATACTGAAAGCCAATGAACGACAAGGGATCCAATCTTCAGTTTGAGAACTCTATAAAAAACAAAAACAAAAAATTAATATGAAAATGAAAACTGGCGGAAGCAGACAGGAAGCAGAAATAGAAAACACAAAATTACTTTAGATATAGGATAGATATAGAACCAGTTGTAACAAGGATTAGAAGTGTGTAAACAGAGCTAGTTGTAACAACACGTTGTGGTGTGTAAATAGAATCTCATTTCATGTTTGTTTCGTTACTATTAATAGTGTACCATGTTCCGAATACTCAGCTTATATGGCCTATAGTTTATATAGCCTAGGTTTACTTTAGGATAGATATAGACTAAGGATAGAAAGTAATTATTGAAGACTTGAACTCGTTAGTTTGTTTGGATAGAAAGTAATTATTGAAGGCTTGAACTCATTAGTTTGTTTGGATAGAAAGTAATTACTGAAGGCTTGAACTCATTAGTTTGTTTGGATAGAAAGTAATTACTGAAGGCTTGAACTCATTAGTTTATTTGGATAGAAAGTAATTACTGAAGGCTTGATTTCATTAGTTTGTTTGGATAGAAAGTAATTACTGAAGGCTTGAACCCATTGATTTATTTGAACAGAAGATATTTATAGTTAACATCATAATATCAAAGAACCCTACGGTAAAGGTGTAGAAAGTTTTGTCAGGAATAACACAAAACCAAAATCTTGTTAGATCTAATAATGAATTATTTTAGTTGATTTAATCTTTTAACACGTGTATTTTTCTTGGTCTTGAAATACAGTTGTAAATAGTTTGAAGTTGGTTTATACACAGACGAATAACTAAAGCACAACCGAATTTAGAATTTTCATTTATTAATGAAATATAAGGAGCATTACCTTATATGTGACTGGTAAAATATCCTGAATTATTCACGTCATTGTCAACATCGGACACTCAGGAGTAAACGGATGAACCTCTCAGGTCAACAGTCTTCGTACTGAAGGTAAAAGAATGAATGAGAATATTACCATTATATTCTCCTATACTGATGAGCTGAATATTTAACATCAAATAACATAACAGTAAATATGGCAAGAGAATTTGTTCAAACTTGAAACAAAACTAAAATATTGCCACAATTTAATTTCAGCAACCTATAATGATTCTTATTAACTATCAGAAATTCCATGTGGTTATATAACTCATATGATATTCTATTTTTTGGAGCGGTAACCATGACAGTGAGCTATCTAACTAGGGGCGCAATTATCTAAGAGGCCTTTTTGTTTCTGTTGAGGTGCCCCCCCCCCCAGTAGCAGAGCGATATGTCTGCGGAATTACAACGCTAGAAACCGGGTTTCGATACCCGTGGTAGGCAGACACAGATAACCCTTTGTGTAGCTCTGTGCTTAACTTTTAACAAATAAACAAACCTGTTGAGGTTAGTTTTCCACAATCCTTACAAGCCAACAGTAAAGTTTATTTTGGTGTTTTGTTAAGCATTCTTACTAAATAACATTATACAGCTGAAGATGTTTCTTGTCTAATCAAATTTACTTATTGTTTTTTCATTAAACATTTCTGGAATAAATGAATCTATGGTAAAGTTAGTTTTTTTATGAAAAGAACATTATATCCCTATAGATAACAGTACGGCCCATATAGGATTCTTAAGCATAGCTTTCTTCACTATGTGTGACTTATGGTTTTGTTGTTTAAATAGTCACTGAAACCTACAGACTTAACGCAAAACAGAACATACCGTCAACATTGCAATTAAATCCACATCCTACTATAGAGGTTTCTTATGTTTTTATACAAAAGATACGTGATTGCCCCAATTACTTAGTCAGTTCTTTACATTAAATGTTTAAAAGGACAAAACAACAACTTAAAATTAACCAAATTTCATGTAACATGTGAGCCCCATCGCCAGTGAACAGTATGAAAACAACCAAGTAAGATTAGGGTTAATAAGACTATTTTTAAGACTACAAATAGCAATAGTTTGTTTATTTGAAATTAAGCACAAAGCTACACAATGGGCTCTGCCCACCACGGGTATCGAAACCCGGATTCTAACGTTGTAAGTCCGCAGACATACCGCTGTGCTACTGGGGGGGGGCAATAGCAATAGTTCTAAACACAAACACATTTAACTGAGAAAAATATCAACAAACCTGTTCGAAATCATTGACAGAAATTTACATGTAGTTGTAACCAGAACGATATTCTGATACATTTTATTTGTATACTGAGTACAGTTACGTCATGTTCTGATTTTTAAATAAACGCCATCAACATACGGCATTTGAAACGTCTTTTAATAACATACGGTAAGAGTAGCACTCAAATTGTCTTCAAACTTTGTTTTGCTGTTGCATATATTGTTCTTCATGAATTTATAATTCCTCCCTCCCAGTGGCTCACCCATAAACATACTGACTTATGACGCTAAAACTCCTGTTTCGATCCCTTCACTGGACATATCACATACAGCTTATTTTGCGCTTAAACAAAACAAACAAGCAATCTCAATTCAGTGTTCATGAAACATCTTCATAATAATTTCAATGATAGTTTTCACAAGGTCTTAAAGTGTTCTGTACATTCTAAAAAAGTTGTGATATCACTTTTAGTGTGTGAAGTACTGATTATAATAATTCTCACAAGGCTTTAAAGTGTTCTATACATTCTGAAAAAATTGGGATTTCACACTCTTTGGGTGTGAAGTACTATTGCAGTACATCTTTCGTCAGAATAAGTAGTTTTACACCCATACTGCTCCATACAAATAAGCATAATTCTAAATGTAAACACTTTGAAGATATACTCTCTTTTAAAATAAATTATTTTCCTAAAACTCCATAGTTATAAGAAAATTATCTTAATGAAAGTGATTTTGTTAACAGTTTATTTTTGATTTTACACATAATTTTCACACACATAGCAGGAGTGTGAACTACTAGATGGTTTAAACTGACAACTTTAAAGATGTGGAGTCTCACCTGCCAACTACAGGGGTGTGTTTATGTGAATTACACCACAATCTCATTTTTTGTATAAGATTGTAAGCACTGTATTAAACCAAGTAAGTACAAATGTGATCCACTTTTATGTTTCTTCTGTATATTCTTTTGCTTCAATGACGTTTGTTTCACAGAAGAATTAAAGGACCAGTCTTAGATAGTGAACAGTCGACTGAAACTTTAGGTCCAGTAGAATTTCACATCAGTTTAATGATGTGTGTATTTGAGTTGGAATGCAGAGCAGCTGCAACTTCTCTCATACTATAGGTTGTCAATACAACTGATGGAACTGTGTTACTGTAAAGATACAAGTGAAAAACAGCACTTTTAAACTTTCCGTCATAGTCCAAATATTCAAAGAACGCAATAAGTAGGCTAGGATTGTCTACAATTGATTTGTCACTGGTAATAGCCTATTTTAATGGAATAGAGGATAAATAAGCATTCAGGTTTGACAAGGGCAAATCTGTTTGCTATTGATTCATTTTTAGAAGTACTACATTTCAACGAACACAATCCTTGAGGTATGACTGGACCAGATTTTTGTGGCATTGATTCGCCATTAGAAACACTGCATTTGAATGAAATAGGAGTAAAAAGCAAAATCATTTAAAACATTATGGTAAAACTGAATCGAAAAGTGTTTTTAATTTCTTAAATTTAATAAAGTAAAATATGTTATTTATTTCTCGTTGTGCTCAGCCATTCTAAAACGGACTCTGATAATGTTAAACTAATTCGGGCTCTTCTAATTCATAAATCTTAGATAAATCATTCAGCTCAACCTTTAACCTGTAAACTGAAGCAAGCACACAACAATGACTGAACATGTGACTAATGCACATTAAGTAGAAGTATTACGTATTATTACTTTGTAAAGTGATATGAGTGTATAGTGAACAGGTATATGTGACTCTCTAAATCAACTTAATGCAGAAAAAATTCCACACTGGATAATCCTGAAATGTGTAATGCACATGTGTATGCATTTGTAAAATTTAAAGAATGCGATGAGTTTTGGTATCTTAAATGACCAGCAGTGTAAAGTAAGGTTAAAAAAATCACATATGTATTGTACAAGTCAAGGTGTAATTAAGAAGTTATTAAAAATGTGTAACGTATAAGTATACTTATGAAGAGATGTGTTGTTGCGTTATACACAAGATGTAACAATTCAAACTTAAAAGTTCCAAAGCTGAACAGTTTCTGTTAGAGCGACATACTAGGAAAGTTAACCGCTACAGCTAATGTGTCTATTGCTCAAAGCTGGAAAGACATGATGTATACAAACGTAAAAAATATATAAAAAACCGCATATAAGATGCAAGACAAAGTTTGAGAAAGAAAGAAAAACACAATAGATACAATCATAATAAAATCTAGGAAAACTTTAATTTAACACAACGTTTCGAGCCTAAACTCTTCTTCGTGTGATGAAGAAGGGTTTAAACTCGAAACGTTTTGTCAAATTAAAGTTATTACCATTGTTTCATGTGTTGTTTTTTTCTTTCTTTCTTAAACTTCGTAGCCTTGTCAGATAAACAGATTGTAAACTTTCGCCTGTATGATGTACTTGTCCTACTCGATATCTATCTATCTTACTCGTAGCTAGTCAGATAAACAGATTGTAAACTTTCGCCTGTATGATGTACTTGTCCTACTCGATATCTATCTATCTTACTCGTAGCCTAGTCAGATAAACAGACCGTAAACTTTTGCCTATATGATGTACTTGTCCTACTCGATATCTATCTATCTTACTACTAGCCTAGTCAGATAAACAGATTGTAAACTTTTGCCTATATGATGTACTTGTCCTACTCGATATGTATCTATCTTACTCCTAGCCTAGTCAGATAAACAGATTGTAAACTTTCACCTATATAATGTACTTGTCCTACTCGATATCTATCTATCTTACTACTAGCCTAGTCAGATAAACAGATTGTAAACTTTCGCCTGTATGATGTACTTGTCCTACTCGATATCTATCTATCTTACTTCTAGACTAGTCAGATCAACAGACTGTAAACTTTCACCTGTATGATGTACTTGTCCTACTCGATATCTATCTATCTTACTTCTAGACTAGTCAGATCAACAGACTGTAAACTTTCGCCTGTATGATTTACTTGTCCTACTCTATATCTATCTATCTTACTCCTAGACTAGTCAGATCAACAGACTGTAAACTTTCGCCTGTATGATGTGCTTGTCCTACTCGATATCTATCTATCTTACTCCTAGACTAGTCAGATCAACAGACTGTAAACTTTCGCCTGTATGATGTGCTTGTCTCAATCTTACTCACTGCTCACCCTAGCGTAATCAGATAAATCGAAAGGCTATTAATGGAGCTAATTATTCAAAAACGTTGATCATAATTTGAACGAAATCTTGAAATGTGTTTCAACTAATGTGGTTCATTTGTATTAAAAATATGAAATTTATAAAGTTATAGCAAACTCAGAATAACAATCTCATTTAGTTTTGGATAAGCTGCACTAACAGGTGCCACTTCGTGTGAAAGACGAGGCATGTGTTCGAGACACACATGAATAGGGAGATAATCCTGAAGACTAATGAAATTTCACCTATATCTATGAGTTTGTTACACGTTCTCAAAACTATTATGTTATAAAACGCACCTTCCAAGCATAATAATGCTGTTCCAAAGTAATATAGTTACACTGAAACAAGTTCAGCCATGTATGGTTGTCAACTTAGTCATGTTTCAGATTTAAGTTCATAAAGATCAGTAGCTTACTACGCACTCCTTCCTGTAGTGAAGTAAGCTATCTGGTGGGAGAAAGATATATATGTTTTCTTTACAGATGTTCCACTCTATAACCTATATTTGCTTTAAATAGTTGTTCTCTATTATAAAGTTCTGTTATATTTTAAATTTAATTATTTAATGATGGTGTGTATCTGATACATTACTATCACGCAACACAAGATTGAACTT